GGAGTTTGTTAATTGATTAGATTCTTCACAAGCACTACCATTACACCCAAATTCTTCAATAATATTATGTAGGTCGATTGCAAGTAATGTGTGAAATGTAGAAATGTGATTTTTTGAATAAATTTTGATAAATTCTTCACGCTCTATAAATGTGTACTTTGAATACAAATATCTATTCTGGAGACAATTAACTAAAAATATTGCAATATAACGTGTAAAAATTTTAAAGTATTTATTTCATCATCTAACGTATTTATATATGAAAATTTATGTAGATGTAGATATAGATATGTAGATAGGATGTATAATATATAAGAAATTTAAAATGTTTGAGCTTATCCGCATGCTAGGTAAGAGTTGGTGTTTCTTTGCCACTTAAAAGTGATTATTAAGTTCATGGAAGACATTTTTAAGGAAATCGAGATTCATATAGATAAGACAATCATTTACGTAGAAAATTTGTATGTTTAGGGTACTTAAAGAATATCTTGTTGTTTAGAAACAATAAGATTTAGAGTTTAATATAAAGAAATAACGCTCATTTAATAATAAAATTTTTAAACTTTCAAGAACTTTGAATTCTTCCAAAGTAATTTATAAAAATCATATGTAAAGAACAAAATATTAAGGTTCACAATTAAAGGCTGAAGACTTGATTATGTTAGCTTAAATTTGGAATTAATATTTACTATATAGATATATTCGTATATGTTCTTATTTATGTTATTAAAAAAATAAAAAAAATTTAATATAAAGTTATAAAACATTTTTACAGTTACAGACGATATAATAAACACTTATAAATCTGATAGATGTATAAGGTAGTGAATTAAATACATAACATATATGAGGTGTCAATGGGTGTCAATGGGTGCAAAAGATTATGTAAGAAAATTTTGCTATAAAAAATAAAAAACTCATTTAAATTATATTAATGTAAACTAGTTAATTAAATTAAAAATTATTAATAATTAATATAATTAAAGTAATTAATGTATGTATTATTGTTTCCGGTAAAACTACGGTTTCTTTATAGCGACAAAGAAGCGATATTTAAAATTCGAATAGCAAGGAAAGAAAGAATCGCTTCTTTGTCACTATAACTTACCAGCTACCAGCGCAGCTTTACCAGCAACAATAATACATATTTTAAAAATTAGACTTGTGAATATAAGAACAATAATATATAATATTGTTCACCTTTTCCTAAATCGCGAAAGCGAGTCTGTAGAGTAACATAGCATAGCTTCTTTGTAATAAGCACCAGAATTTTGCACTTTACTAAGAATAGCTTTGAGTATAAAAATATAGGCGAACTCAAAAAGTTAATTTTCAATTCGTTGAACTTGTGTTTCCAAATAAAGCTGTAGTTTATAAGCTCGTTCTAATTTAAAAGCATGGCCAGTGCTTTGGTTGGTGTCACTAATTCAATAAAAATAAGTGACAATAAAAACCTGGAACTTGAGCATTGAAAGTTTGTGCAGCCTTGGCTTCTTGTGGATAAACACGATTAGTCATCGCGTCTAATTTGACAGGTACGAGTTCTAAGCCTGGCACTAATTAAATAAAATTCGATTTTTTCCTAAGACCACTGATGAAGAGTACTTGGCAATATTCAGCAAAATTTCAATAAAAAATAAAAATAAAATTTTTGTGTTTGCCCTTTCTTGCTTTCTTTGCTATTCGAAAATTCTCTAAATTAATTAATTAAATTAATTATAAATAATAAAGTATATATGTAGCATCTATGATGTGATTATGTAATTCAGTACTAGATCCGAAGTAATGTCATTTCTTTTGGGAAGATTGGATATATAACTGAAATTTATATTCAAACACAGTTATTTTTTCATTAAATCAGTTTGAATTATGGATCGAAAAATAGACATATTTCAAGGATATTACATTTTGTATTACTCAGAACATTTTCAGCGTTGAGTTTTTTTGTTAACTTTCTGATATAGTATTGGGCATCATTATTATGCATAGACTTACTATATATTTTAGTTTTATAAGTTTTATAGTTTTATAGTTTTATAAATAAAATAATACAAGTAGTATATAGACTTTCATCTCATACGACATTCACTTTGCAATCAAGTTGACACCTTGGAAAGATAATGAATTCTGAAACAAATATCATATTAATTTTGATAACAATTTTATAACATATTATAACATCTAGATTGTGTGAGCAGCTGCAAAGATTCTTCTAGTTATCATCTAATGAGGCGTTTGTGTTTAAAGTTGGTATATTAAATTTTATGATATTGTCGACTAATGCTATATTTATTTAATGATATTTTATTAACATAAAAATAGTATTGTGTAGAACAAGCATTTGTTTCTTATATACATTTAAACATTTATATACATTAGTGCACTTATATTTAAACTAAAATTAAAAATCTAATATGCCACGTCGAAGTAAAAATGGAAAAATATCTAAGACTGCTCGAACATACACGGGATTTGTAAACGCCTTAAGACGGAATTTATCGCCCTCTTCTCCGGGTTGCATTAAATTTAATAGACTAGCTTCTTTGTTCGATGGTAGGAGAATCAATACCAAATGTGTAAATGTTGTTAGATAGCCTGTAAATTTAGAAAATAATTGAATAAAGGAATTCATATTAACTATAAGAAAAATGTGTACTATTTTTAATGAAAATAAATATTTAATAAATTTTACAAGATAATTATTAGATAAGTACATGAAAAATTTATATAATAAGCTTCATATCAAATGGGAATACTCGTATAAAACTAAGTTTATAAACAAAAATAAAAGTGTAGACATTTTAATTGAAAAATTATTCATTTACTATTTTTTTTTCTTATATTAGCATTCTCAATAAACAATTATGATCAATTTGAAAAAAATATTATTCACTGTTCATTTCAAAAAAGTTTCGATCATTTATATAGTCTGAGATATGGCCGTTTAAAAATGTGTCTACAATGCCAATTCTCAAAAACCCATGTGCCCATATCGTCTAGGAAAAAAAATTAAAAATTAAATTAAAAATTAAATTAAAAAATTTTTTCTCGAGGTATAGGTTTTCTCATTTTAAGAAAGGAGCTTATAAAAAAAATTTCATCCCAATCGGAGATGTTGAGGTTAAAAGGATGTCCAATTTGTAAAAGAATGACCCATAAATATATATAACTTCAGATCTAAATTGGAGTTTGTCAGTTTTTGAGGGTATTACAGATGTTTGTTTCATTATATGCACAACAGATATGTTGATATATATTTGATATATTAGTTATTTGTATATATCTATTTATATATAAAATATATCTATATAAATCAATGTATATAAATATAAATAAATATATTACATGGTATATACGAATGAATTTATATATTTATGAATTTTAAGATCTTCATTTTACATGCTAATATTTTAATGAAAATTATTTTGGCTATAAATTTAGATATACCTTAATGTTAATAATTCTTATTTTTAAGAGTTCATTGCTACAGCAATATTTCTAGAAAGTGAACGTTGAAGAGGCTAAATAGACTTAGTATAATTGTTTAAATTACCGAAAATTTTGTAATTTTTGTTTAAGTTAATCTTTACTACATTCATATGTGTTTAATTATTACGTCTATACTCACCCCAAAATCCATGTTTCAACATGCTTATATGGAGTTCGCGTAGCTTTGGTAGTGGCTTTGTAGATTGAAGTAGCCTTAAGCATTTGAGAAGATGAGTATGATAAATACGTACAAAATTATCGAATTCTCGTATACGTAAATTGCTTTCTGATGAACACATGATGACTTCCCAGAGATCTTGTGCTGGACTACCCCATTTACATAACTGAAAATCAATAAAACGTATTTGATTGATTTCACCAGTTGAAGTATAGTTTTGCATGATATTGCTGGACCAAAAATCTCCATGATTTAAAACTTTAAATTCATTCGGATCAGTGTTAAAACAACCCATAGCAGCATTAACAAATTGCTCTGCATTTGGCTGAAGAGAAAATAACATTTTTGAATGATTACTAAAAGACAAATTGATTTTCTTTTTACTTACAATGCGCTCTGCGTATTTCTCATAATCCTCCAAGCCCCAAGTAGACATCGCTGCTTTGAAACTTTGCACGCGTGCTTGATAAGATTTCGATTTCTGATAGTTTGCGGGTAGATAACTTTTTTGAAATTCTTCTGGGTATGCCCCATTACGCTGCTGCCATATCACTGTGACTGCATGAAATTCAGCCAGTTTTTCTAAAACGCGTTTCATATGTGCCATGTCGAAACCTTTCAGACGATTTATATTTTTAAATTTTTTAGTGTTTAAATCTTCTAGAACAAGTGTAATGCGTTCGGCCTTCTCCTCAACCCAGACGCATTTAGGCGCCAATTTTACTTTCTTATTAATATCATTATAGAGCGTTTCCAGTTGAGGCAGCAATTGTTCGTACATAAATTTTTCCTTGGGGAATAGATTTAGAGTGTTTATAAACGTACCTCCTTTGTCTTTATCTAGCATGGTTTTCATTATATATGACTGCTGTTGAGTAAAGCCATCTGCAATGCAAGTATATGAGTTGTTATCGGTGAGAAAATATATTTTGATAATTAAACTTACCTTTCATTTCTATATCCATGTGTATACGTACCATAATTGATGTGTAATTCTCCCCGGGTGGCGTGGCAGCTGTAGGTGTGAATTTTAAAATTTTCTTGAACTGTGGCATATCTTTCTGTAGAATTTTTTCGAAGTATTTCTCGTTTATCCATTTCGGTATTTCGAGATTCAAATTCGGATTAAATTTTGTGCTGTTATCTGGCATATTTGTTGGTTGTCTTGGATTATTTTTGTTTGCTTTTTTGTTGAATATTTCAAGGTATTCCGCAATTGTCGTTTGTCAACCGATAGTTACTTTGTTTTTACTGGAACTAAAACTCTAGTCGCTTACCTTTGACGAAATATCTCACCTACTTTGTATGCTCTCTCATAATTACGATTCGTTTTCCAATTTAAATTTAGTAAATAACTATTTTAGCAGAACGTTTTGCGCTCTGCGTTTTTTATTTTAAATGTAGCCACATAAATACTATAAACATATATCTATATATGCACATATAAATGTGTGTTATTTACAATTGTTTATATCACCCAGATAATAATCGGTTTTGTTTTAATGTTTGTTTGTCGACAAGTTTGCTTGACTGTAACTCAGCCGTTGATTAAATGAATTTCAATTTTAAATAAAGAACGGCAATGCTTGGATATTTTTTTTCGCAGATAATGCGGTTACGTTATGTGCATTTAAAACACCAAACGTACTGATTAGCAGGTTCTTACTAGAGAATTTCTACTGAAAACTGATAAGGAAACCGCTCTAGTTGTAAGAGGGCAACTATTGTTCCACTCAATTTAAGTGCACTGAACACAAGGGAGTAGTCGTATGAGCGCTGGAGAAATTGTTTTCATCATAATTCTTAATTATATTAATTTTGTAAAGATTTTATATGTTATAAATATAAAATAGATATTGACGTGTTAACTATTATAATCTCTAGGTAAATGAAAGTATGAGATTTTTGTGCAGTCCATATACCCAAACGTATTCTTTTGAGTCTACATATGCCGTGTAAGCTAACATAGTACAGTGATAATATATAATTAGCAATATTAAAATAATTACTATAGTTTCCAACTCAAAATTTTAATATATATTGTACTAATTAATAAAAACGTATTCAATTTCTTAATATTTATTAGAATCACTAATTAAAATGTTAGTCGCACTTTTGCCATCATATATAATATAAATGAAATACATATATATATATATATATATATTATGTACACTTGTACATTAATATGTTGGTTTGTCGAATGTGTTACGTTTTAACACGTTAATTATATAACACGTGTATTCTTCCATTGTGTTTTATTTCTAGCCTCTGGGAGTGAGTACATAAGGCAATGTATCTGATGGCATTCAAGCCGATAAATGACAGCACAATTCTGCTCTGCTTTAATCCTAGTATAAGCATCGTTTCTACGTGGCACTCTTGAATAATTATCTAGTAGTCTTTGAATAACAAACCAAAACTGTGTACAGCGAGGTGCCCATCTTCATGAGTTTGTGTGTAGGGTTTGACATTCGTCATTAAAATCAGCAGCCAGTAAAAGACATGATCTAACCTTCTCAAAAGAAATTAAATGTTGATAACTTCCTCAGACGAACTATGATTTACAGATATTATCTTTAATATTCTGAAGCACTATAGTTAAGATGCATAATTACTACTCGCAGTAGCCTTCAATTATAGTGAGATAGACGTTACCGTTCTAGAAAACAAATTGGGATACGAGAGCGGTTTGATAAGTCAGTGACTTTTTGAATAAAACAAATTTTTTTTGGCAAATAAAGATTTTATTTTTCTATACAATCACCTTTTAGCTCGATAAATTTAGTACAGCGATTTTCTAATTTTCTTATTCCCTCCAAATAATAGGTTTTCTCAAAACTCTCAAAATACGCGTTTGTTTCGGTAATGACTTCTTCATTCGACTCAAATATCTTACCACCCAACCATTTCTTTAGGTTTGGAAACAGAAAATAGTCGCAGGGGGCTAAATGTGGAGAATATGCTGGATGGGGTGACTAGACTAGTGTGCACACGTGACTAGACAAGTGTGCACACGTGGATTGTCTTGATGGAACAGCACTTTCTTCTTCGCCAAATGCGGCCGTTTTTGCTTCAAATCAACGTCGAATCTGTTCAAAAGCTTTGAATAATATTTGCAGGTGATCGTTTTATCTTTCTCGAATGACACCGCTTGCATCCCAAAAAATTGTGGCCATGACCTTGTTGGCTGACAAATTCTGTTAGGCCTTCTTTGGTCCACGTTCACCCCTAGCAATCCACTGTTTCGATTGTTCCTTGGTCACTGGCGTATTGTGATGGATCCATGTTTCGTCCACAGTAAAAAACGGCGCCAAGAATTCGTTCGGATTATGGCTGAACATCGCTAAACACTCTTTTGAAGTGGTCA